CGAGTCTGTCCTACCAACCTGACATTATCCTACACATTCTGCACCTGCTGTCACATGGCAAAGTCTCCATGACAAAAATCCCTTAAACAAGCTGAGTTTCTCCATCACAAAATTATCTTTACATCCAGCAGCCTGCTACCTTCCCTAGTGAGATGACCTAACATCTCAATTCAATCAAATTCCACACCTCCCGCTTCTCTCCACTTGCCCAAGAGATGGCATTCTATTCCAATTCTTACACCTTTCTCTACTCAAATTCCCATTATATCTTACAGACCATTCAGACCTCCCTCACCACTCCACATGCACYTCCTGCTCAAACTAAGCTTTAAAGTTTTTAGCTCACCTTGGGGTTATTCAGCCCCAGAAAAGGCAGGATAGGCTCCTCAGATTTCTCTCCATCTTCTTCYTTCCACAACTTTCCTTCAAAATCAGTGTGAGGATCCTGCCTGCATCTAGACCCACAACCACAGCACTAGGATCTGACGTTTATTTTTGGGTCTCCTGTCCCRAGCACACTGTACCTTCACCGTGTCAGGTCTGCACCCACAGAACAGCACAGTTGGGCACAGTGACAGTACACACACTGTTTGTTCTTTTCCACTGCTCTGCTTGAGAGAAATTCTACATAAAGATTCAAAGAAACTACTCTGTCCTTTTCCAGCTTGCTCCTTAAAATTTCCTGATGATACCAAGTGTGTAAAACACAAGGCACTGAAGTGATCAGGCTACTGGGCATAAGTTCATGGGGCATTTTTTGTTCAGTCCCTGCTTCTCCCCAATCTTTCCCTTCAGCCTTGCCTGAACAATGACACWGCTATAGTAAAACAGAGGGTAAGTGAGCAGTTCCCCAGCACCTCAGCACTGCTTTCCTCTGCGCAATGGGAGCAGAGGGAGCTCATCCATGCTGGCAGTGGCTCTTGCTGCAGGGCCAGGAGTGCTCACACCAGCCCTGTGCAGGCAAGGCTCCAACAGAAACCAAACCACCCCACCACGGCTGSCTCCACACAATGGGCTCCTGCCTTCTGACACAGCTCCTACCTGGCACACAAATAATGGGATAAAATGTTGCTAAGCTACAGCCCTGTCCCTGTAGAGCTGTAAATCACAGCTCAGCAAACCCATTACAGGGGTACTTTATGGGTGGGGGGGCTTTCTTCATGCACAGGTTGGCTTGGAGAAACTCACACCAAGTTTTCTCAGCTTGCTATTGCTGCTCCTGAAGGTCAGACATGCCTGAGAGAAGCCCTGCTCATAAACACCTCTTTTCAGAAATAATCATAAAACATTTTTATGGCTGTTTTCATATCCTAACGAAGGGACACRGGAAGACTCATAACTAACAGAGAAAAGAGAAYAACGGCTGTGAATGTTGTCAAGACTGCTTGACCATGAATTTATTGCTCCCATAGTTTCTGTTAATAGCAAGACTGTTGGCAGGCAATCATTATATAACTCTCACTGTAYTCATCTAAACCGGAATTGTTCCTTAATGACTCCTTCTTGCGTAGAAAGGGAATTGCATTGCACCTGCCCACACAATGTCTGGTTTTAGCCTCTGCTATCAGTCCCACGCTTCCAGAARCAGTGGAAGTGTTTTATTTTTCAGAACTATATTTATAACCTAGGAGAAGGCACAAATTTACACCACAACTCAACGTGTGACAATACAGCAACAGCCTCAGGATGCCTTTCCCAACYGTCTGATTAACCAGGAACTCACGTCAAAACATCATCAGGTTTTCTCTGCTGGAGTCTTTTTCCCAAGCTAAATCCAAAGAAGCACACAGCATACATGGGTGTCACTCCGATGATAGGAGCTGCCATTCCTCTGTATAAACCTCGGACTCCCTGCAAGAAACATCATCACAGGAATTACTTGGTTTGGCATAAACTTTGCACGCATTTTAACTTGTTGAGAAGAGAAAGCCGACAATCCGGGATAGGATCCATCTAACAGTCAAATTGATGAGAGGAAGAAAGGGGTCTTTTGTTCATTTGCAGTTATAAACGTTTAGCTGAGGCTCAGGGAGTGCTGCAGAGGAAAGTTATCCTTCCTGGGAAACATGAGCACCATTAATGCTCTTCTACAACAATACCAATCACCTTGCAAATCAAGTATGAGGATGTGAAGTTAAAACCTACCTGAATATGAGCCTTAATAGATGATGTCAACACTCTCAGCACCTTTTATCGTGCATTATTGTTTTACTGTGTGTGTGTGTTTTATTGGTAACTTGTCAAATGCAGTAGTGTAAAATCCTGACACTGAACCTGAGAATGCTGAATCAAATTCACTCTTTAACTAAAGGAAGAGCCAGGGAGATCAGCCTGAATTCCTTCACTCCCCACATGAATTCACTTTGRAACAAGTTCAAGAGCAAATTATTTTCTTTCTTTTTTTCCCACCCTAAGTCAAAACTTTTTCACCACACAACATTACATTCCTGATGTTTTACACATTCCTGATGTTTCCCTTCATAGACTATACATATGAAAAAATTCTAATGCAGATTCCAGCAGTCACATTTATTTAATTTCTCTTGCCTTTAAACTGAACYTTTTCAAATAAAAACAAGAGTTATCTTCCTAGATAAAGGCTAGATACATAAATTAAATATTTGTCAGTCTGTGAACCCCTTTCTTCTCCCTGTCCCAATAAACCAGTGCATCCCAGTAGGTGCTGAAGGCTTACAGGCACAACCATGARGTTGCCCTTGGCTGACAGATCAGCCCCTGCTGCTCAACCTCCCCATGGGCAGTGGGAAGCAAAAGGCCTTGGCAGAGAGGTTTAGTAGTTTTCCTTGCAGGAATGGATGAGTATTGAGTAGGAGTAGAGAAGCAGCACTGCTTTTGAACTTCCCATCACAAGGCTATTATTATGGCTCAGCTCTGACGTCCGTGCTGCAGCAGGGGTGTTAAAAACAGCCAGGGATTCAGAGCTGGCACAGCATTCCAGTCCTTTGTGGGAGAGACCAGGGAAACAAGATTTGCTTTGGTTATATAACAACCTGTYAATGCCACAATGCAAGAAGATTTCAGATATGAGGCAGATCTTTCATTTAACAGGGAGTTACCTAACGAGATCCAGTGGTTAGGAATCAGACTTCAGGCGAGCAGATAAACACTTGGGCTTCACAGACATTGTTTCCAAATGGTAAATAACTGCTGAGAAAACTTTAAAAGCAGAAAAGTGGACTCTCACTGAAAGACTTTAAATCAASGCTGTCTGCCTTTCTAAAAACAAAACAGACCAGCTCGACAATAGGAAAATGATGATTCTGGAATGAAAAACGCTGTCCACCTTCTAGAGAAAGCGGAACAAAGCTACTATAATTGACTCTCTGCTCTCAAAAAAAAAAAAAAGAGAGAAAAAAATCTATTAATTAATGACCCTCTGCCTCCTTGTAGGTGGCATAACAGCTCAAAGAAGAAAGTAAAAGTACTGCTTGTATCAACAAGCCATTGCCTGTTCCAGGATTTCCTGAGATGACTCCAAATACCAGCAAGATTGCAACTACAACAAGCCCAAAAAACAACTGCCAACATTCAGTCATCTATAACTTCATATATCAATATCATGCCATTTTGAAACAAAAACATTTCTTAGCAAAACGAAGAGACATGTACCTGGAGCACGTGGATGCTAAGTATCCCCCAATCTTTGTAATCTGATTAAAAATAATAATTAGAGTYAATTTAACTGATAACCCAGGAATTGTATGGTCTGTGGGAGGCACACGATTCCATTCTTCCAACATACAGAAACAACTGATATTTTTGGCATGTATCACAGTACCTCTCTAACGAGAGTCTTTCTGAAGCAGTCAAAGGTCCCAGAATAGAGTGGGGTCTGGCCAGGCTGTGGCTTAGGCTGGGTTTGCARTCTGACCTAGTAAGAGGGAGAGGAAAACATTATTTTATTAAATATTACAATCTAAACTTTGACTGACAAATTCTAACTATTATGGAGTATGTTTTGTGACTGGACCTGAATATATTGACAAAAMGACTGACATCATTTTAGCCCTTTGCAGAAGAGGAGAGGTTGAATTTTAATGTAATGAGTAGTTAATGCATTTAACTACTTAATTGCTGGGATGACGACCCCAGCTCGCTTTGGACGCTGAGTTGTGCCTCCACAGGATACTCCTGGCCTCGCCCTTGCCCAGGGGCGCGGCGTCCCGCCGCAACAGGGGCTGGCGGGAGCGTTCCAGCTCCCAGTTCCTTCCAGTACCGGGAATACCGACGCTCTTATCCCCATTTTTCACGGTAAACCGGGAGTGCGAGACGCCCGGCCGCCGCGCCGCCAGGGGGCGCCCTAAGACACTAGAGACATGGAGCCCCGCCCCCCCGCGGCGCGACCGGAAGCCTTGCCTCCCGCGCAATGCCTGCCGGGAGTCGTAGTTCCACCACAACGCCCACCGGGACCCGCACCRCTCCCGCGCGCTGCCTGCCGGGAGCTGTAGTCCATCTCCCGCTGTCYCGGACCGCACCGAGCACCGGCCGCCGCTCTCGTCCCCGGGGGCCCCGTGCCGCCTCACCTTGATGGTGTCCAGCGGGTGTCCCACGAACACCAGGCAGACGCCCCCGAAGCCGCCTGCGAAGAAGTTCTTCACCGGGCTGATGGGCTGCGGCTGCTTCGCCATGGCGGCGGTGGCGGCGGGTAAGAAGCGGGACAGGGAGCGGGACCGGTACCGGGGTCGGGGCGCTGCGTCCCCGCCGAACCAATGCCGCCCCCTCCGCGCCGCGACCTTTACCCCAGTGCGGGGCACGCCGGGAGGCGGGCGCGGGGCGGGCCGGGACCGCGGCGGTGCGAGGGGCCGCTCCCGGCGGTGCTACCGCGAGCGGCCACCGGGCGCTGTCASCAGCCGAGCCCGGCCCGGGGGCCGCTCCTGAGGGCGCGGGGCCGCTTCCCCCCTCACATCCGCAGTGGTTCAGCCGTTCCCCCCCCGCCCCAGCGCCGTGGCCCGGCCCGGCCCCGCCCCGCCCGGCGGAGGTGACGCACCGGGCCCGGCGGTTCCGGCGCGCAGGAGGAGCCCGGGGCGCCGCTCCCGCTGCCCGCCCGGTAAGTGYAGGGCCGGGCCGTGCTGTGGATCCCGGCGGGGCTGTGCCGGGGCTGGGCTGAACCTGCTGGGAGGGACGCGGGGCCGCTTCTCCGTGCCCGGTACTGAGCTTGGCGCTCCGCCTCGGGAGAAGCCTCGGGAGCTCTCGGGCTCCAGGCAGCCGTGCGGGGGCCCCTCCTCGCCCCGCCGCCGTTCGGGCATTCCCCACACGGCTTCTCTCCCGCGGTGCCCCTGCTCTGCTCTCCCACAGGTCTGCGGCGCTCTCGCTGTGCGGGACAAGCGCAGGGTTGGTCTCGCACGCATTCCGAAAGAATGGAGCCGAGGTATTTTTAAATGGGCTGGGTACTACTCTGCCCGAGCACAGTGGTGCCCTGGAATACGTAGGTATCCGTAAAACAAGTTGTTAAAAGCGGCGGTAGGTTAGAAAGGGCAGGAATTAACTGGATCAGATGAACTGGAAAGGACAAGGCAGCCGTAAGAGTGTGAACCAAGGCTGGCAGGAGGGAGRGGAGCAGGCGTGTTCACGGGGGAGTGTGATACGGCTTGCACAGTCATCTGTGGTGAAAATGATGGGGGGGATCTGCTAGTTTCTTGGTCTTGGATGAAAAAAGCCCTGCCTAAAAAAACAGTGGAGAAGGAACGCACTGCGTGTGTGAGGAGGCAGTTGGGGATGATCCACAAATTGTGGGTTTGGGTGACATAGATGAAGATGCAACTAGGTTGATAGCCAGAGTRGAGCTGAGGCTGTGCATGGTTTCAGAGAAAAGGGAGAGTGTTAGCCTGTCTAAAGATTACGTGCATAAGGAGTTCAGGAGGCAGATGTGAATTGCCCTTTCTCTGTTTCAGGTAAATAAAGAGGTGAAAGAAGAAAAAAATCATATTAAATGATTGTGAAATATCAACAGAAAAAGAGGAGCATTCTCCAATTGGAGGAGTCTCTTCCAAAAGAGTTATTAGAGGAATCCCACAAGAGTAGGCATTGAAGGCAAGAAATAAGAAAAGAGTGATGTAGTGGGACAAGGAGTGAGGTGGGATCACACAGTGCCATTGGTGGTGATATGATGAAAAGCATTTTGTTTCAAAAGACCTTGTTAAGACCTTTGTGTTGCAAAGCAAGAGTGAGGGAAAGGGCAGGTAATAGCAGAGGGTAGGGGTGTTTAGGAGTTCCTACAAGGGGCTGGAGCAAGGGAGGGGACTAAATTRGATCAGTGTTAGTGAAGAGAGAGTATCTTGGATAAAGGTGGTGAGGACCTCATCCTTCCTTGGGTAGGAAAGKGGTCTAAGTATGGTTTAATATTTTATAATTTGGTCTTGGGAGATATGGTAATTATTTAATCAAAATTATCCTTGATTTTTTGACTCTATCTTTTGAGCTTAACATCTTTATTGTCTTAAAAATTAGTGCCATAAATTATTAGCTGTGTCTCATCTTTGTATTCAGAATTTGATTTGGTTCAAGCATAGGTGAGATGAGTTTTGTTCCTGGTTTTCCAAGTACCCTCCTTTGCTTTGTCCACAGAGCATGTGCCTTAGCCTTCCTCTCCCTTGGCTCATGTCTGTGTGATGTTCAGTTATGCTGGAAGTGMGCTCTTTCCTGGAGTGTTGGGATAGGAGTCACAGAAGTCATCCAGTCCTGCAGACTGTTTTCTGCGTGATAAATCCATGTCCATTTGCCCATGCCAACAGTTCCTCTGTTAGTTCACAAAACAGCACTGGTGGCACAGAGAGACATCTCTGCACTCCTGTGATCCCTCCCCAGTGACTGGTGTGTGACTGGGAGGTACTGGGCAGGCTGTTATTCTACCTGGATATCTACAAACATCTTATTCCTTGGATATGACTTGCCTTGTTGGAATAGCAAAGGACCCAGTGTTTTGGTGGCTTGTTTTTTKTTTCCTCTCTCTAGAGTGTGGGATGATCTGAGTAAGTTTGAGAAGTTCCCTGACCTGAGAAACTTGCTCAGGCTTTGTGGTGCTCTGAGGAGGCTGAAACAAAGCTGTTGCACACTGGGCTGTCGACAGTCCGCAGTGGGTTTAGAGTCTCAAATAAGTTATTCTTTCAACAGAAGTTTTAGCAGGTAAAGATCCATTASTTCTTTTATGCAAGAGCTCAGTGTCAATGCAGGTGAAGCCCAGAGTCTAGGCAGAGTAGAGGGAGGGATGARGTTTTGCCTTGTGTCTGCCAAATCAGATTTCACATCTGTCTCCTTCCRACACGGAGAGACTTTGTCTGTTCCTATGAAGTCCTGTGGAAAGCAGTGCTRTAATTTATTTGTGTGCTACCTATGCTGTGAATGGCTAAGGAATCAAGAAGCAAATGAAAGGAATGAAGACCAGAATTCAGGGGGTAATATATTAGCTGCTAATCTTCAACCTCTCTGGAGGTTTGTATCTCCTGAAATCATGAAGCCCCTCAAATTAATTGTACATCCAATCTCTTCCTGGTTATTCTCTGCTGCCTGGTCAGGTGACTGGRAASAGAAAACAAATGAGTTGAGGAAAAATAATGAAAATTTGTGGTTGAGATTTCCTGTACTCTAAAGTCAGGATTCTCAAAGCTTGATTATGGTTTCCCCAGCAGCTACAAATTGCAATACTGAGGGAATATATTTGAGTAGCAGAACTGACAGCATGGTAATGTAAAATGGCARTGTGTGTAAGAAACCAAATATATGCTGCTTGTGGAAAGCAGAGCTTTGATTTTAATATATTTTTAATACGCAAAATTTGGTTAMAGCACTGTTTTAATTGTTTTGTATTTGATATATTCTCTCTAAATGAATCATTTGGTTAAATGGAAATTTATGACTAAATGTGAGATGACCATAATTCAAGCTTGATTCGTGTTTTGCTGCTGAACTTTTAGAGCTCAAATTCATATGGATTAGTTGCACAAGCAGAAGGTTTGTAATTCAGATAAGTATCAGATATGTGAATTTTCCAAAACAAGGGAGAACCTTAAAAAATTAGAAGTTCCACTTAAAGTCAGCGGTTCTGAAGCAATATGGATTTGTATCACAGGTTGTACAGTATATCACAGGTGSCTTTCTGGGTGCTGTGGTTATAGTTAAGGGGTTTGTGTTTTTCCTGTTAATTAGGTGGATAGRATGCTGTTCTGCAGCATTTCAGGCTGTTGATAAAAAACTTTGTCATAAATTCRGTTTTATCTCTCAAAAGATTGGTAATGAAGGTTATGCAGCCAGTTTCCAAATGTCAGAAATCTCAGGGCCTGCACTGGGAGCTAGGATGCAGTGTAGTGACCCAATCTCCAAGGATTTGGATCTTTGCTGTAAGAGCAGCCTTGGCTTTGAAGGTGCAAGAGTCACGATGGATCCAAACCAGGGACATGCACAGCAGAGTCCTCTTTTGTGGGCCATTGGGTCGCTCCATTCCTGGCTGTTTGATGTTAATGTGGCGCCTCTTACAATTTCTTAGGCACAGAAAAAACTGTTTTTCCTCCCTTAGGAGACAGAGCTCAGATGAAATCAAAAGAACGATAAAAGTTTGGAGGAAAAAAAAGAAGCTGCGCTTGCTTTCCTGGTCTGCAGTTTGGCAGGGCATTAAGATGTCCGTGGACATGAACAGCCAGGGCTCTGACAGCAATGAAGAGGATTATGACCCTAATTGCGAGGAGGAGGAAGAGGATGAGGATCCTGGGGATATTGAGGATTATTATGATGGGGTAGCTAACGACGTGGAGCAGCAGGGAGCAGATGCCTTTGATCCAGAGGAATATCAGTTCACCTGCTTGACTTACAAGGAGTCGGAGAGCACTCTGAATGAACACATGGCCAGCTTGGCTGCCACGTTAAAGGTGAGGAAAGGTTTCTGCATTAACRCAGCTGTAAAACGAGTCTGTGGTCRAACAGGCAAATGCTGAGAATACAGTTTGTAATAAAAGCTGTGGCAATATTGCTGTTATGGGGGGGTTGGAGGAGCATTATTGAAGGTCCCTTGTTCAAAACTGATTCAAAGGTTTGCAATTGTTACATACTGGTTCTGGGGCCTGAAAAATATTCCTCATTGAATGTTGATTCTTTTTTTTTACAGTGCTGAGCTTCATGACCAAAATTCCTGAGTTATAACTCTTTGCATTAACACAATGCAAAGAGGATATATAGAAAAAAACAAATCAAACCATAAATTGTGCAGTTTGGTACACCTGGAAGATAACTGACAAATAGGAAGATATGCTAAAACTGTAATTCTAACAAAAACACTTTTCTTGGTTGGTTCTGAGAGAATTATCATGGGCTTTCAAAGACAGATCAGCTGTCATGCCAGGTATTAACCTTACTGTTACAGTGACAGCAATTCAAGTACAATGAACTTGCCACTTCTTGGGGCAAGTGTGATTAATTCATCACAAAAAAGTCGCACTCAGAGTCAGCTCTGTGGTATTATGCTSAATGAGACATTTGTGAAGTTTTCTTTCTCCTTTTGTAACCAATTACTAGTTATGATTAACCAACTACTAGTGTCAGTCAAAAGACAAGGCAGGCCAGAGGAAAGCAGAGTTTTCTAAGCTCTAGATGTGGACATTGGGTTGAAATTGCTGCTGCATCTACTTTGGAATAGGTGTTTTAGTGCTTGCTCTTCTCTGGAACAGTCCTTAAAAGCAGGACAGGTGATGACTGCAGCATGTAAAAAAAATACTTTGGGTAGGTTTTTTGATTCCAATTAATTCAGTCTGAATCAAACATAATTTWAAAAATGAGAGGGATCTCTTGTTCTTCATTTGCACATCAGTGTCATGTAGACACAGTATAACCATAAAGCCCGAGGACTATRAACCATAAACAACAGGCTTTAAAGGGTWCCCATAATTTGATGATTTTGCCATCTTTTGTGCTTGTTCCCAGCATTTACCACCTCAGAAAAGGAAGTTTTACTTTTTCTTGCTGTTAAACTTGCCTCTGTAATTACTTCAAAATGTGCATTCTGGGTTCTGAATGCCTGCAGTTTGCTACAGATTGTCAGAAACAGGAGGCAACAGGAAGGTACAAATGAGAATAGTTGGTCAGCACTTCTGATCCAGCTGCCAGTTGTTCTTGGTTCTTAGCAATTAAGATTTAGAACAGCTTTTCTGTGTCTTATTGTTTGCCTTTAAATGGAACACCCTCCAAAAAGGTGACCCCTGCCATATTGTTCTCTTGAATTAAATTACAGAAAGCAATACTTTTGGTCTTTAAAATCAGGCTTCCAGAGTTAAAATGAATTTCTCAAGAGTTCTGAAGGTCTCATTGGGCAAATATTAGAGTTGACCAGACAATAGCAACCTGCTAGCCTAAATCTCATCCCAAATAAGGACCAACGGAGAGAAATTTTAGATTTCTTTTTAGATCAAGAATATGCCTGCATATTTACTTTTGAAATGAAGTGGTACCCATTTTGGTTTGTGCATGAGAAGGTGAAATTGAATTTGAGTAGCAGTTTGAAAAGCTGTGATCTTATAAACCACACCCTCAGGCTTGACCCCCCCAAGTGCCGCATTAACTCTCTGTTCTCCAGCAACAGTAGTTCAACAGTTGCATTTGTCTTGGATATCTGTTGTGTATCTGCAACATTGGCTTTTTGTTTTCTGGCATACTTTCTTGCAATACTTCAACAACCTTGTATTCCTTCCCCTCTCTTTATCCCCAGGGAAATGTGTGATTTTGTTAGTTTTCTGATACAAAATGTAATAGAAAGAATTAGTATTGAATTAGTRAAAGTAGAGAAGAAGGAAATGGAATAGAGCATGTTGAACTACTTATCATCATTATTTTTTAYGGACTTAATGGGTATGAGTAAGCAGGGGTAGACTTTTCTAAGAATTATATTAACGTCTTCTGAGCTCTAAAAACTGAGCTCTAAAGCTTTTTTCTTCTCAAAACTACCYTTCACAATGTCTTGTGTTTCCTTGAATAGTGATGATTGTTCTTTTGGAGCATCTGGTTAATTTTGTTGGTTTCATTTCCTTTCCCTTATGATATATCCTTTTTCAGCATTAGCTCATATTTAAGGCAGAGTGGTTGCCCCAACAAGAAAAGCTGAAGGCAAATTGAAGACTGTTTTCAGGAGGTACRATGTTGAAGGCAGGGGATGACTTGGTATCTGAGAGATTTAGTATTATAAGAAATTAATAGCGTAATACAATTCCCTAAAGCAAATTAAAAATAAATGGAATAAATGGGCTCAAAGCCATGGTGGAATGTTTTGCCACTGCCTGTTGTCATTAGGTGATTCACTTTCTGAAGGTTAAAACTGGGACTCACACTCATGTATTGAGTGTGGTTTTTCTCTGTGACATTGTCTACACACTTAAAAGACCAGAAACAGAATTTCAGAGCTATRCATCTTTATATTTGCTTTATATCTGTGCTGTTATTAGCTAATARCATTTTGAATAGATAGTATTTCATTTGCTCTGCTCATTAACCTCAGCGTTTGTTTTTCAAACTGTTTTGCTCAGCAATTTCAGACTGATCGTTAAATTCCTATTTTTTAAAGCGTTGCAGTAAAGGGTGGTCTTTGGAAACCTTTTAGGCTGTTTGCATTCCCCATGAGTCACAGCTGACCTTGTTCTCATTCCTGCTGAAGGCAGMGAACTAAGCAAACCYTKCATTGGCTGGTTAACTTCAGGTCAGGTGTGAACACCCTGCATATGTGGAAAAGCTTGCRTGCAACATTGAAAGAGAAGCTCTCTTCAACAAAAGGACTGTGCTTTGTTTACCCCAATTAGAGACAAAATTCAGTTAAAATAGAAATTCCGATGAAAGCATGAGGCCCAGCATGTAGGTAGATGTACATCCATGTATCTCTTACTGCTGTAGGAAACTTCCACGAGTTCTTTTGACTTGCTTTTTGTCAGGTGAGGAATTCTGAACAGAAAAATTAGTGCAAACAAGGCAGCAGTAGACTAAACCAGCTGTGCTGTGTGACAGGCCTGCAACTGCAGTAGTGGCTATTCCAGAACCATACAGAAACTAGAGAGGCTTAGTGTTACACTGGAAGTTTCTCCTTAATTTTGGTTTTAGTAATAACTGTGAGTTCATTGGTTTTCAAGGACAAGAAGAGGAAATCTTTGCTCCTCTGAAGATCTGAGGAAGGTTCAGTTAATACCCTGACTAAAATTAGAACAGGCTCTCTCTGTTGAAATATGCCAGAAGAAAATCTCAGATTAATACCCAAAACTGTGATTCTCTGCCCAAAAGGMCTGTGAATTGAAGTGGGTCATTTTTAATTCCTCAAAAAGTCACTTGACCACAGCCAACACTTGTGAAGGACAGTGCTCTCAAAAACAGAGTGGCCTGTATTGCCTGCAGACCAGCAAAGGAATTCACAACAGTTCTTTTTAAGAAATAGATATAATTTTAAGCTACAACATCTTTCAAAAATAATTAATTAAAATAGTATAGTAGTAAGTTTGCTTTTGAGATAACTCTGTCAGTTGTCATTGAGTGATTGTGGGTCCTGGAGTGGCTTATCAGTACATGCAAACAGTGTGATACTCAGCAGTTGTACAAACAAAGTTGACCCTGTCTCTGGCAAGYAATTAAGTGTGTGATGATGTCATATTGTTTTTGTTTGTGAATGACACTTCCTGGCTCTCTGAGGGTCTCCATACATGTCTGGAATATCTGTAATGTTTCAAATAACTGKCAATAGTTTCTCTGTTTCAGTGATGAGGTGGATTTTTCTGGTATTTTAAACCACCAGATGAAACATTTGTAACTAGAATTTATGGAAAGAATTTTACCTTGACTTTAGGTCTTAGCTGATTGTCAGTCATGAGGAAGCTGTGATATTTCTGCACAAACAAGCTAGTAAGGGAAGATARTCATGTTGTTTCACAGGCAATTGATATTGACATCTTTCCACTAAAACCAAAGGAACTGTAAGACTGAAGAACTTAGAATTTTCACTTCACTAATTTGAGTAATATGCTAGTATTTATCAGAGACCAAAAAGCTTACTTCCTGTGCTTTCTGAAATAACAGCTTGTGATGGGGTTTTTTCTGCCCCGTCCCTTGAAGAGTAAATCTTGGTAGATGCAAAAAGTATTTGACACCGTGACATAATTCTGAGTCTGTTAATCCATGTTATCACTCCTGCTCTTTCAGAGATAWACCAGTTTTTCATATATTCTGGCTCACCATACTGATGTTGCATCTTTTCATGGAACGAGATTAGTATTTGCTCATGAAAACACAGCCCTTTGAGACTGCTCCACACACTCAAATTGCGCTGACACAGAGCAGTGAGTTTGTAGAGCTGCTTGGTGAGTGCTGGCAGTGCTCCTTTCCAAATACCATCTCCAGCAGACCCAGAGTCATGTGCAGGGGGACTGGCAGCCTGTGTGAGCATTTTCCAAGGGAGCCTGTTCTCAGGATCACAAAGTGTCTGTAAAGAGCCACGTGTCAGGGCCCTGGAGTGTGTGAGTGCCTTGCTGTATCACTGTTCAGACATGGCCCAGRGTGTGCTGTGGGGTGCTGCTTATCCAAACCAAGCTGCAGTGTTGCAGAGTCATCCTTTCAATGCCATAATGACTTCATGGAACTTTATGCAATGTAAAATGGCAGGATTGAAGCCTTGCTGTGCCTGAGTACCTCAGGTGCAGGAGAGGGATTAAARCCCCTTTAAATATTAAACTGCATGTACATAAGAACAGGGTTTCAAAAATTTATGTTCAAAGTCCATAAACACCAACATTGGTAAGTATTAGTAAGCAGTAAATATTTAAATATCATTTATTATAAATGGTAGAACCTGATAGGCAAATTTGACTTTTTCACAGAACCTCCGTGGTGCTGTTTGGCAAAGATAACACGC